TGGGGGATGTCATCCCCCCTACCCAACCCAAACCTGATGCTACATGCCTGATTGACATGGTTTTACTTTATAATTATGTGAGCTGTCATAGTGACTCTCTTTCATAAACAAGAATTATTGTGAGCAAGCTAATAAAATGATACCAACCCTCCTGCTATTGCATTAAATGTTTTTTATTACAAAAAAGGTCTAAATACCAATTTGAAACCTTTTAAAATTTTGCTAGTGCAGATATACATACCAAAAATGACTTTGACAAATACTTAAGTCATAGGTAGTAAAACCGTTGTGTTGAGCACAAACTTCCAATTTCCCTTCATTCGAAGTTAAATATGTAAATGTGCCAAACTCATATAGTACACTTTTACTGCAGTGACCTTGAAAAAGCTATGTCCTTGAGTCAAGGGCAAACATGTTAAAATGAATTTTGGTCAAGGTCATGACAAACCTACAGCTTAAAAATAATTCCCAAGATGAAACCAAGTCTTTTCATTAGAATGTTACAGAAAGGGCAAAGGTTGCACTTTTCTTCCACCAATGACCTTGACCTTGTTCAAATGACCTTGAGTCAAGTTTTTGACACATCTCTCGATCGCAAGCAATCCTAATATCAAGTATGAACTTTCAGTGGCACTTCATTGAAATGTTATGGACAAGTCAAAATTTTACATACATATGGATCGGTGAACAAGGTGATTCCTCCCCCTCCCCTTTTCCAAGTTTCGTTTGTGAGGAATATAAAATTCCTTTTGAAATTGAGTGTGCATTTATTATACCCCCCGCTTGAAAAGCGGGAGGGTATATAGTAATCGTTAATTCCGTCCGTCTGTACGTCGGTCCGTCCGTCCGTCCGTCTGTCCGTCCGTCCTTCCGTCTGTCCGTCCGTCCGTCTGTTACGCTTTGGGGTACCCATCTCTTATCCGCAACTCCTCTCATACCACTGAATGAAATTTGATGCAACTTTCACAGAATCTTTATTACATATTGCCATTGTGCACCTCCTATTTTACTTTTTGATCTGACACATATTTTGGGTTTCCCGGCCACAGGAAAACATGGACTTTTTCACCAATGATAACCATATGGTAGGCGGGGGGTATCATTTAGTGAGCTCATCGCTCACAGTACCTCTAGTTTATTAACAATAGTAAAGTTATGAGTATGCTTTGATCAGAACCAATATGGCCAATATAATGGACACTGAACATGTATTCAAATTACCCCCACCCCTTCAAAAAAGCTTATAAATGCCAGATTTTCACACATTTTAACCATTTGTAACTTTTTTCTGCTAAAGTTGCCTGCAAATTTTATTGTATAGATATGACATATAGATAACCCCTAACAAGATCATACCATTCATTTTTCCAGCAGTGGTTGTAGATTTTGTGAATAAAGTGATAAACATATGTAACTCTTTTCAAAATTAATAAGCATTGACGCCATGTTCTTTTCCCGTTGTCATGGCAACAATATCACTACAGAAATTTTGTTTTTCCTATTTTTGGAGAATAAAGTAATTCCATCTTTTAACAAATAAAGTAACCAAAATACCTTATCTTATCACGTTCAGAAAAAATATTCGTAGAAAAATGTCTAAAAATCATTGATTTTCATAAGGATTTATGAACCCGTTGCTAAGGAAATGAATTTCCTTGGATACCAGTCCCTTCATACGTTCGAAAAAAATTTTAATTGTGTTTTAGCATTAGGTAAGACAAAATCTTTCATATACCAAAAGCTTTTGAAAAAATAAAATTTTGACTTTCCATTCAATGCTCGATGCTTGCTGATTTTGACTCTTAAATATTTGGAAATATTTTTAATAAAATACTTTTAAATTTTATTAATGTGTGTATGTGAAGTAGGGGGTATAATAATATTTTCTTATCGGGAGAACAATTATTTTTTATCATTTTATTTTTTTCGTTCTGATTAAAATCATACTTGCTCCATAATTCTGAGCGTGATAAATATATGATATAATCTATTTAATTTTTTTTTTAGAAAATGTCCGGTAAATATTTATAAACGAACTTTCAATGTGTAACTTTTATAAATAAAATCTAAATAAATTACATGTACAATAGGTTTATCCTGTTACAGTTAAAATTGAAAATGCCCTATAAGCACGTTGTTCATCTTGAAAGACAGACATCTTCATTATGATAACAATAAATACGTATCATTTATCACTGATTTTATTACATTGATGAATTCATTTGACGAGCTAATTTGCTAAAAATTTCTATTTACTTATTTTATTATTTTGCTTTAAAGAGTGACTGAAAAAAAGATGTTCTCTGTTTTAGCTTTGAATATACTGACAAGAACTGTCCTTGCATGAAAGCTTTTTGATTCATGAAAGTAATTTTTCGAATGCTAAATTTTGTTTGCGGCCAATTTGAAGCTTTGCATCTATTTTACTTGTCATATTGTGATGTACTTTTGTCATTATGTGGTGTATACATAAGTCATTTCGTGATGTGCTTTTATCATAATGTGAAACGCTATTATTATTATGTTATCTTTATTATGTAACATGCCTTTTTCATAATGAGGTGTGCATTTCCCATTATGTGCTGTGCATTTCCAATTTTGCGATGTGCATTTGTTAATATATGGTGTGATTTAGACAATTTATGATACTGTAGTATATGAATTTGTCATTATGTGGTGTGCATTTATGTCTTTATGTGATCTGCATCTGTACTTCATTAAGTGATGTGCATATTTCATTACATCTTACTTTCAAGCGCCATTACTTCGTGTTCAAAAGTCTTTATGTATTGTGCAAACTATTTTTGGTATGTGAAAGATTAATGTTTTCGCTAACCCTGACGTCATCTTTTTTTCTTCTATATGTACATGACTTGCATGTCAGAAAAATTGGACATAGATATATTGTTTCTAATTTTCTTATCAACACTTTGAAACTTGGATTTTTAAATAATGCTTTGTATATTTATAGCACCATCAAATCCGTTTCTTATTCAGAACTGGTCAAATAACTGTACATAAAAAAGTGAAATCCATAAAGAAGTGATACATGTCCAATGGAAAAATTGATGCATAGTTAATTTATTAAATCTTTAAGCTCCCGACAGCGACAATGATAAAAATAATGAATACTGTAGAAGTACTTTTTCCGCATGGTATTAATTTACGCTATGTACGCGGTCACAAATTTTTCGCGGAAATTGTCCAAGCGTACTAAATGTAATAAAATAATACTTAATAAAATAAAAATATGTATAAATGTAAGGCATATCTATAGTCAAAGTCTAGGAAATCCGCGTAATTTTCTACACGTGGATTAAACAGAAATAAATTTGAGTTTCCGCAAAATTATGACACCGTGGAAATCAGTACGTCTACAATAAATAAACAATTTCAAAATGTCTGTATAAATCACATAATTTAATTGACTTTATGTACATGAAGTTTTTTTTTCATTAAGTTAAAATTTCTAAAAATTTACAACTATAGTTTAAAAGTGGAGGGTCCATGTTTTCAACACAATGATGCAGATGAAATATTCATATCATAGCATTACAGTAGCATTTTTACATTTTTTCCCAACGCACAACCAGGCTAACAAAAATTGCGCAACAAAAACAAAGATTTTGAATTGGGTTAAATATCCGGAAAAAAGGACGATACATGTAACTCTTCCAAGAAAATCAAGGGTTACGATTTCGCAATAAAAGGATATATAATAATTGCGTCTGCGATAAACAGATAATTAAGATTAAAGACTTCTCTGGGAAATGAAATTTAGTTGGTCACGTGATCAAATCCTGTGAAGCCCAAGGGCTAAAAATCTCAGAAGATTTGATCACGTACCAACTAAAAGTTCATTTCCCAGTGAACTGTTTAACATTGTTGTTTATTACTTATATTTACCTTTGAGACGAATACATCCATTTCGAGTTTAATTGCATTTACATCATGTATTACACGAACAAAATATCACCTCGCTCTGTGATTCGGTCGCGCTATGACCTCTGACCCCCAAACAACATTCACACAGAATTGAACATTTTTTCTCTTCAATAGGTTCATCTAAATATAGGTGGATATCCGGCAGACTGCGCAGGGATATCAAAATTTTAACAGCTTTCTCATAGCGGCATAAATTGAATTACCTGTGATAATATTGTTTTTATACATGTACCCCCTGCAAACAAGGTTGGGGGGATATAAGAATCAGCTTGTCCGTTAGTCCGTCCATCTGTCAAGTGGAACTGGTAAGTTCGTACATGTATTTCACACAAATAATGTCAGATCTTTCAATATTTGACTTTCATTTCTGAAAATTAAAAAGAACACCTTTCAGAAAAAGAAAAAAAAAAGAACTGCTAATCATAGGTTCTGCCATATATTCTAGTGTACGAAGGGTTATACTCAAAAATATGTTCTAAAACTATTAGAAATTACATGTAAATACAATTTTACGGAAAATTGTTTTACTTAAAAGAGGATATTTAATTGAAAATGTTAAGACTTAATAATTAAATAACGTTTTTTTTTTAATTTCTACCGAGCACCGATGCATATTATATTATTTATTGAACAGCCCTCGTAGCTTTAAAAGGAGAGCAATAGACAAACAGACGCTTGCTAAATATAAAGTCATGAAAAAAAAATTTGGGCGATCTCATTATCGTACTGAGATTGAAGAACTTGTGATGACCCCGGTCTCTGAAAATAGATTCGTACATCGTAAATACAAACTTTTATTGAATATGATTAAGTACAATTGCGAACTAGATCTTGGTCCTTTCTACAATTTAAATAAAAATGTCTCTTTTGAACTTTTAATTTGACGTGTCAATCCTCAAGTGGCATTCTTTTTAAAAATCCGTGCCGTTCTATCACTTTAAAACTAGACTTGTTCTTGTTAAATCAACTCACTGTAGTTTAATTTCATGTTTTATGGCAAGGTCAAAAAGCAATCCTCATTTACTGTTTTATTTTGTTTAATTTTTCAATTTCAGGAAAATACCCTCCAGATAATGTTTTCATTGTCATCATGCATGAATGTGCGAAAGGAAGGGAATTAGCATACGCAAGAGATCTGGAAAATTCTCGCCTTTATTCTGAGTTCAATTGGATTACTCCCGTCTTTTATGAAGGATGTCTTACTTCTAATTCAAGCCTCAATGAAAAAGCAAAAGAAGAAATCCAGTCATTTCTTTTATTTCAGCATTGTAAATAATTTTTTTAGAGTTCAAAAAGCAAAGTTCTCTATTGAGTCTTGATAACATTATTTGTCTATCAAGTGATATAGATTCCAAGCATTAGAAACTGTGTGTGTTAAGTATTACGTCATTTCATGTTTTCAAATTGGGCGCATTTTAAATTCCAATAATGCCAAACTTTAACTGCTTAATGTACATCAAAATTGCATGTGAAGCAGATTTGTATTAAAAAAAAAAAAAAAAAAAAACTTGCAAGCGAAAAGAAGAAAGTTCGTGCTGTGACCTTCAAGTCGACATTGAGCGAGACATATTATCAATTAAGGATGCTTATTCCCATATTTTTGTCTACATAATATATCCCGGATAGCTTGAAATATGATATACCACAAGGATAGTTGACAAGGATTTGATTCTGTAAACATGTACACATGAACAAAGACGAATATTTTTGGTTTTTTGAAACATTTCAGCATGTATTAGAGGAGTCATACATGTATACAAATATGCCCCATTTCCAAACTATGGTCTGCAAGAAACAAGTGGGAATGTTCAGATGATTCACAAAACGTTAAACCTAATTAAAATTGATGTGAACCAAATTACAAGTGTTATCATACTCAAAATGTATAAATGACACAAAGAAATATATTTTATAATTTCATATCTGAGATAAGACTCATAATTCACAATTAACGCAAAAAATTCGAATAACCAACTTCTTATTTCGCTTAGCAGAATATATATTATGACAGACCAAAGAAATAATTTACGTTTAGTGTTGTGAATAAAGTTCTTAAGTTTTGTTCATTATACCATCGTTCTTGTTTTTCTGACTGTAAACCAAAATCTCAGTGCATGGGTCTACTCTGCTCTATATTTTGCCAAATATAACATCAACCTTTCGGTTGTTGTAAATGAACATTTATTTGTATGCCAAACAAAAATTACCAAATAAGGACTAAATAAGAAATGACCATTTAAGGAATAAGGTATCATTTTTTGAGTTTTATTGAGATGCAAAACGGGTTGCTCACGTGATCAAATCCCATAAAGCCTGTTTTATTTACAGACAATTTGTACAAACGTTTATTTTGTAAACATATATTCAACAATAATATGAAAATGACGATAAAGCAAAGCTTTGTTCTGATTTTTGATCATAAACACAGTGTAGCGTTAATCTTGCTCCGATCCTCGGAATTGTGTTGAAGTGTTTGATAAAACTAGAAGGTGTCCAGTGGTTCACAGGTATTCATATACTCCTTAGACAATGCTTCCTTCCGTAGACATATGCTTTCTGGCGAAAAATATCCGTAAGTTGAGAAAATGGACAAAAAATGTACATTGACCCCATTTTTCTCGCTTCGGAAGTATACACCCCGCGCACAACATACATGTAGTATACACCCCGCATGTTGGGATATACACGGTGAAAATTCAACTACCGCCAGCAGTTCAATCCTAGATTCATCACGCCCTGTTCGCCAAATTACAGAAATCCCCTACAAACACAAGTCGCAAACATCGTCTGCCACTACTGTGGACTCCCGGACCATTTTCAAAGATTCTGCTCCTACACTCAGCAACTCCAGCTCTCAACCCCCAGACAGCCGCCCAAACAAGAGCACTCGTTCCAACAACAACAGCAGACCAGCAATGAAGTTGAGTATGATAGTCATATATTAGACCATAAATCTGACTTTGATGCAAATTCAAACATTTCAGTTCAAGATCGATTAAAATACTCTGTTTAATTTTGGAAGAATGTTATAAAGCTAGACGATTATCTTTTAAATGTTATCAAATTTGGCTATATGACAGAATTTATTACACATCCTGAAGTTGTATGTTTGTTTAACAACAAATCAGCACTGCAGAGCGCCCCTTTTGTTGAAAAGGCCATAGTCATTGAATGCTTTGAACCGCCCCATTGTGTTAACCCACTGGCAGTTTCAGCGCATGTTGAATAGAAAGCCAAGGTTGATTCTTGATCTTAGACACGTCAATGCATGTGTTTTAAAGAGAAAATTCAAATTCGAGGGGTCTTCAGTGGGTCTCAATTCTGCCGAAAAAGGTTTATTCATGATAAATTTGAATTAACAAGTGAATATCATCAGATCATGTAAACATCCACCCAGATTTAATTACAAATATTTGGGTTTTTTTTCCTGGAATTTTAATTGCTCAAAGCGTTATTTCGTATTCACAGTTCTACCTTTCGATTATATTTTTACTGAAGTATTAAGACCATTAATATTGTATTGGAGAGCAAAAGCATCCGGAGTTATAATGTATTTAGACGATGATTGGGTTTGCGATTCCAAACAAAATTGTATTTTAATGTCCCAGAAAATTCAAAAAGATTTGTTGCATGCTGGTTTTCTTGTTAATGAAACTAAGAGCGTTTGGAACCAAGTGCAAAAGTTAGAGTGGCTCGGTTTTGTGTGGAATTTAGAAGTCGGTTTTATTGGTATCCCTCGACATTAATAAGAGAGTTTATGAAGAAAAACATAATACTAGTATATCTGCTAGAGATCTCGCTTCAGTAGTAGGCAGCATTATTTCTTTTAAGTTTGCACTTGGGTCTGTAAAATAGCAACGAGACGATTGTCAATGCTTATTGCTAATGCATCATGTTGGAATGAACATATTATTATTTCACTTCCTGCCTGGTGTGAGCTGGAGTTTTGGTTAAGAAATAGCCTTTCTATTCGCTGCCCTCCCAGCCCTTGCATTGTTTATCTTGTAAAATTTATGAGTTTGATTGGTATGTATTGAATAAAAATGCGATTTGTAACGAACGCGACAATCCTACGGTATATTCTTTTTCTTAGCATTTCATTAAATTAGTCAAGAAAATATTTATTTGCGGAGGAGTGAAACGAGGGAGGAAATAAACGCGAAAGTAAATCTGGTAAGATATTCAGTTTCCCAGGAATATGTTTGCTTTGAAAAGAATGTTAAAGCGTAAGCAAGCTAAAACCAAACGTCTTTAGTTACTAAATGCATAACTGGAATAACTTTTGAAGATATTTTTTGTTAATAACATTAACAGCTGCCATGTTGATCTGAATAAAAATAGGATAGAGCTGTTGGCTTAACTCCCCCCCCCCCCCCGGTTTCAACCGCTACAACAATAGGAAATAATTCCTTAACTTGCGCATAAATACAAATATTTTTGTCCCCCGCCTTCGCGAGAGCAAGGGAACATTAAATCTCATTGGTCTGTCTATCAGTTTGTCCGTCTGTCAGTCCGTCACAAAAACTTTAACCTTGCCCATAACTTTTGATTTAGTGAAGCTATGACTTAAATATTTCACATGTGTATTCCTTGTGAAAAGACCTTTCTTTAGGTATCACCAAAATTGACCTTTTGACCTTGACCTTGGAATTTGACCCATTTTTAGACAAAATTTCCAAACAAGTATTTTATTATAACAATTGCATATGCAAAAAAATGACTTCAAATTTTCACATGGTACATTTTCCCTTAAAAATTGCATGAAACAGTAGGCTTATGTTCAAATTTAATGAAAAATATTGATTGGTTAATGATACAATATTATCTGTAGAGATATAGGTGTACAAAGTAAGGTACTATTGGTCCATACCAGCATTAGTATAATTGGATAACTCAAGATGGTGGCTGTGTTAGATATCTTTTGAACGGTAGAAACTAGGACTTTCATATTTCACATATGTATTCTTTATGCCAAGACCTTTCATTGGATAACAACAACTTTGACCTTTTGACCTTGACCTTGGTGATTTACGTACTTATGAAAAACTTTAACCTTGACCATAACTTTTTGAACGGTAAGGGGTAGGGCTTTTACACTTCACATATTTAATCCTTGTAAGTAGAACTTTCATTAAATACCAAAAAATTAGACCCTTTGACCTTGACCCTGGAGTTTGACCTTCTTTTCAAGAACTTTGACCTTGGTGACAACTTTTGAACGGTAGATACAAGGACTTTCATGTTCAACATATGTAATTTTTGTGAGAAGACCTTTCATTGTATACCAACAACTTTGACCTTTTGACCTTGACCTTGGAGATTTCTGTACCTATGAAAAAACTTTAACCTTGACCTTAACTTTTGAATGTTAAGGGCTAAGGATTTTATACTTCACGTATGTAATCCTTGTAAGACCTACTTTTCAAAAAACTTTGACCTTGGAGATAACATTTGAACGGTAGATACTAGGACTTTCTTATTTCACATATGTATTTTCTGTGGCAAGACTATTCATTGGATACCAACAGCTTTGGCCTTTTGATCTTGACCTTGGACATTTCCGAATCCTAAGTCATGATATATCTTTTAAAAATTAAGAAATTAACTCGATATAATCCATAGTAATTTTTATATTAATATGCACATTTCCAGAATAAAGGAAAATCAGATATTTTTAAAGATTTTTTAAAAAGGGAGTTTAGTAACGAGGGCTAGAATATTGCCCGTGTACACTTTATTGTGGAAAAAATGCTCGGGTTTGTTCTTCCTGGGTTTTACATGTAAGCGATAAATTTCATTTTTCGAAGGTGATTTCACGCAATGTAAACAAAGGATTATTTTTTGTGTGACCTTACAAATTTTTTTTTAACTTTTGAATTTTGATATCTTTAAAAAGAAAAATACTTTGGGGATATAATTTGACAAAAGTTGAAGGAATTTATGGACAATTATTTTTCAAGAAGAAAAATGAATATCTTTTTTTAGCGATTAGAATCGGACCAAGCGGCTTTAAGAGAAACCATTTCATTTGATACCAAGAACGTTGACCCTTTGACCTTGACCTTGGAGTTTGACTTACATGTAAAAAAAATTATCTTGGCCATATCTATCTAACGGTTAGGATTAGGGTTTTCATCCTTCACATATGTATTACTTGTGACCTTTCTTAAGAAATCAACAACTCAGACCCTTCACCTTGAAGTTTGACATACCTTTCAAAAATTTATCCTTGACCATAACTTTTAAACAGGTGGTAGCAACCACAAGTAAAATTTTAAATTTATTATATACCACTTGTGTTATATATCAAATCAAAGTTTATAAAAAATTGT